CCAGTTTCCGAGGCGCCAGCCGTATCACCTGACCCGCACGCACCACCTCGCGCCTTGTCGTGGTGCGTGTACGAGGCAACCGAGAAACCGCCCTGTATGGTCTTGGCTGTGTGGACAATATGTGGGCCGTGGGTCTCAAGGGTGGGTTGCTGGAGACACCGCGTCCGCCAACGATAGCCCAAAGACTCCGGAGTGCAGATGTGGACAAGGTCTTATGCATCTCCTAGGACGTACGCAGAATAGGTGCAGAGCAGAGCAAACCGTTCTGTTCTTCTTCGTGGGACCTCCCCCCTCTCCTCCTCCACCCCACCCCACTCCCAGACCCAGCGTCTCTCCCGGCGGATTTCTATTTCTTTTTCCTTTTTCTCCCATCCCCGTTTTTTTGCCTGGTTATGGGTGCTTCTTGCTGGTATCCACTCGCCAGTTGAATGGCCGACCCAAGGTTTTACCTTTCCTGCAGGCGGAAGCCTGGGTGTGGTGGTGGTGGTGCCCCAGCCCCAGGCCCAGGGCAGGGGGCTGCCGCGCGACCACTGACTGAGTTTTGTCTCCCAGTTGAGTTGGTGGCTTTGATTTATCCGCGACAGAGCAGAAAGTAGGAAAGTCACTACGTACTAGCAGGGATTGTGTCTCGTGTGCTTTGTGCTAGGTATACTGCCACTGAGATATGTGGCTGGGGCATGTCCTACAAGTACAAGTTTGGGGGCGTTTTTTTTTTCTTTTTCTTTTTCTTGGCTTCACAAGGCAAAACTCAGGTTTCATACATACATCTTTCCAAATTGATAGAAATATAGTAGAAGTACATAATAGATTCCAATTTCCACACTACACACCCCTTCCCCCTCCAACTTGACATCATTCCCCGGCCGTTGACTCTCGTCCGTCCTCCGGGTTTGTCGACCTGCATTGACCTCCCGGGCCTTTCCTGCGGGGGCCACAGAGACCATCAAATGAACGGGAGGTACGAAGTCAACAATCGCGGATTTACAGTTTCGAGGGCGGGGGCCCGAGACCCTCCTCACCCCGGGAATCGCCCAATCGTGACCGGGACTTGTTCGCCTGCGCGGTAATTTCCTCGTTTCCTTGAAATTGATTGTGGATATCGTGGTTCCCACTTGGATCTGAACCCCGTTGGAAGGGAGATAATTTGGATCAATGGTTTGGTTTGGGTTTAGGTGTGTCGTGTGGGAAACATGAGCGATGAGCCCCAGGTATAGACACATGTGGAACGTGCACATATGTACCTTTGAAATAGAGCCTTGATATGTAATCTGTACAGTGTACGAATTATTGTCTAGGGCATGTCACTGTAGGGCATCTATAACATGTGACATGGCATGGGTAGTGGCTTCAACGAGTAGGACTAGTTACGATGTACGGAGTAACTCAAGTGCAAGGCCACTCGTACTCGTCCTGCAGAGACAGACAGATGGATCAGCCAGTGACAGTGACGTTATGGGCCGTGCTCCACGCTGTTGACGAGCCCAACATCACCCGAAAGGGTATGGGTTCACCAATAGACGCGATAGTTACCGTTCGGAAGACCCGTGTTGTATGGAGCACATAGCATGCCTAGCGAAAGACAAGTGTATTTGGATCGTCGCCAGTGATGGCAGATCTTCCCAACTAGTGTTAAACAAACAATGGCCGGTCCTGAGGGAGAGAAAGGCAAAGAGAGAGAGAGAGAGGGAGCGAAAGAAAGAAAATCGGATCCCCATACCGGGAGTACAGCCAATGAGCCGCGTTGGGAATCATGATTCGCATACATATTTTGGGTCGGCATTCCTCGTATGTACCTGGCTGGCCACGGCGCGCCCAGGCTTTGAGGCGAAATGGGATGGGAGCACAGTCCAGCACAGCACAGCACAGCACAGTCCAGCACTTCTTGCCCATCCATATTCGGTAAGGTACCGACAATGAAATTCTAAATTCTTCACCTCTGACGATTCTGGTATTTGGTATGTGCTTCGGGAATGTGTGATGGCCCACGTGTCTGACAAGAGGATGGATGAATGTTGCGAATTGCGAATTCGATCGTACCTTGCTAGTCCATGGGAGGGAAATAAAACAACTTAAACACATGCCGGGCCGTGCTGAATTGAATAGACATTCCCCCTCGGGTCCGAGCCATCGTGCATGGGAATGGGGATGCATAATTCAATTCCCATGCCGGGGCGAAACCCAGTGGTTCAGGAACACGGCACGATCGGTGCAGGGAAACGGTATGCGGGAAATTGAGGTCCACTCCGAAATGTACAGACCAGCAACGAGACGAGACATCAGCAACCGTCCAAGGAAAAAGTAATTTATTTACCCGTATCCAAGGAAAACTCCCCCCCTGGGAGTACAGTGTATGGTGATTGTGATTGATGGATGGCCAGGGATTTTGGGGCCGGATTAGTATTGAACGATGGCTGGTTCGTGGCTCCGAATAAGTCGGGCCCGAACAGTCCCAGTCCAGTGCCAGTCCCGACTACGATGGATGAATGACTATGGAGTATGTACATATGTCAAGCAGTAGCTAGTAAACTAGTTAGCTGACTAGCAGTGGCAGTGCAGTGTCAGTAGGGAGAAAATACCCAGGGTAAACTTGAAGATGAAAGGAAAGAAGACGTCACTATGGGGATGACAGCAGTGTCGCCTGACAGATGAACTGTGGCAAAGGTAAGGTCTGGTGATGTCGATCGCCGCAACAGGCTCTAGTGCGAGGGAAAAGAGAGAGGACTAGCAGTGACTAAGGGAAGTACTCCAGTACTCCAGTACTCGTAGATACAGTCGATGGTTATGATGGGTTATTGGTTATTGGTTATTGGTTTTATGGTTCTGGCATGGTAAATACGGAGTGGTACAAGGCCCGCGAAGCCGCAGGTGCAGCACGGTCGCTTCTCAACATTAACCTTTTCAGCCAGGTGCAGTACCATCTGCATTGCTCGAGGGGAGCTGGACCTCAACGGCCCTGACTTCCCATTATTGGATCCTTCACATCAGGGGCAAGAAAAGTTACTTCTTGAAACTTTGTAGGGGAGAGAGTGCAGAGATTTTTTTCACTTTAGGTACTTTACTTTTTTTTTTCTGGCCTCTCCTTAAGCTTAGGGACAATTCGCAAACTACGAGTAGTTACAGAATCCAGGTACCTCCTGATCTGCTCGGGTGACGATGACAGTAACGGTGAGAGTGAGAGTGACGGTAACGGTTCCGGCTTGGGCCAATTCCTCAATTGCTCCAGACCGAGACATGGCCCGATGCCGAAGCGCTGCTGCTGCCACTGCCACTGCTCCTCCTCCTGCTGCGCATCAGCTACCAGTAGGTCCCAGCTCCCCAGCTCCTAGCCCCGGCTACCCAGGTACCATCCCGGTGCAGTGGCTGGAATCCCAATCATTCGGAGCGAGGCGTCGGCTGAGATCACTTTGTCCATACATGCCAAGGGGATCCCTGCACCGGGATGCTAGAATTGTCGGGGATCGACGGGCGGTGTTGGGCTGCCGGGTCCCGTTCATGCCGTATCTCGCATGGCATCAAGATCGACGAACAGATGAATCCAGTAATGGCAGATCCAATAAAAGAAAATAAAATAAAAATAAAAATAAAAACTGTCTTTTTAGGGAGTAAAGAAAAAGCAAAGCCAAGCGAGCCGCGATCGAGACCGCGAGGACGACTCGAGTCAAGTCGACAGTTTTTTGCCCTCGGATCGGGGGCTGGCCTAAGCTTCCCAAGTCAGCTGGACTCGATGACATCGTGTTGGTCACGAGGGCGGCGGGGCCAATGGCGGTGGTTCCTGGGAAAATCACGGCTGGTCACCCGACTTGCAGATATACTGTTAGCTGTTAGCTATAGTGGATGGAGTAAAGAGTGACAGCTGTGTAGTGACTGTACTAGCTAGTATACGGTATCCAGTATCTAGTTTATACTACGGAGTAGAGTACTAGTATTTACATGCTGATATACTTATATATCTATATCTGTAGCTAGAGACTACTGCTGTGCCACTCAATACACATAATACACCACTGTAAAATACCAGATACTCTGTATGAGGGAAATCCTCCACCTCTCGCTTTCATCCAATCCCGGCAGCGATGATATCATGTTCCGCCGCTAATAACGGTACGGTATTTGTTATACCGTATTTTTGGCTCTACCTGACGGTAAGCACCCAGAGAGACAAGGGGAAATGCCCCCCAAGAGAATACCAGCTCCTTCTTTTAGAGGGGAAAGAGGAGGGGAATAATAGGGCCAAAAAAGAGGGATGAATGGAGGAGAAAAATAGATCAGATTGGAGTATACACTACACTTCGCCCCTCACCAAAAATAGTCTATAAAGTGCCCTAGGGTGGTGAGCCTGAGCCTAAGCCTAAGCCTGAGCCTGAGCATATACAATCAATCCAATACCCGCGGAGGTTATCGTACACTGCTTCATCTCGCCCCTCTCTTTCTTTCTTACACCCGTAGACTCTTTACCTTGTCTGCTGCTGCTGCCCTCTTCTCTCCTCTCCCTTTCTTTCTCTCTCCCCTCCCACACTTTCATCCACTTTCTATTCCCAATCCATCCTCCCCCGTTTTTACCCCCGTAACCCCCCCCCCCTCCATCTCCCTCTCTCTCTCTTCAAGTGGCCCCTCTTACACCCCCCTCCCCACCCACCACACCCACACCCACCCTAACTCTACACGGAGGTTCATCTGGTGTACCACTTTCTTCTGGGCACAACGTCACTTCCGACTCGCCCTGAACCCGAATTTGGTCTTGGTGTCCCGTCGAACCCGCCCACCATCGAACCCTCTCCATCTCCCCTCATTGGCCCGCACCTGCTGCTGTCCATCACCCTTCACCTCACTCCTCTTCCTCTTCTTCTCTCTTGGCACCTCTCGTCGTTTCTTCTCTCACCCCCCGTTCGGACTTTCCGCCCAACCCACCCCTCCCCTCCCCCCTCCTAAGCTTCTCCACCGCTTAATCTCTACCCAAAACGGATTCTCTTCGTCTTCCTCGATAGCACTTCCTCCCAGCGATGTCACAAAGTCGGCCTGGGCTGATCCCAAATTTGCGCATGGGTGGTAAGACAACATCTCCCATTCCCTGCCCTACCCTTCCTGTCCCCTCCCCTCCCCTCCGTTCCTTTGATCGGCCACGGTCATGATCACGGTTACGGTCAATTGTGCCCTTGGAATCCAGTTGGACTAACTCATCTCCCTCTCTTGTTCAGAGGTCATCCGCGAAAAGGTCCAAGATGGACTGACCGGCGAGGCCAAGGAGATCGCCTACACACAATGTAAGATCGTCGGCAATGGCTCCTTCGGTGTGGTGTTCCAGACCAAGATGGCTCCCAGCGGCGAGGACGCTGCCATCAAGAGAGTCCTCCAGGACAAGCGATTCAAGGTATGGGCGGATTGACCCGGATGTCGGATTTCCCTCTGCGTGCCCAACACTTACCTATCTCTCCCTCTAGAACCGCGAACTTCAGATTATGCGTATCGTGCGCCATCCCAACATAGTCGAACTTAAGGCCTTTTACTACTCCAACGGCGACCGGGTATGTGTGACGACTCTAACGACTCTCTGGCCCTCTCCCCCGGGCGCTTCTCCCTTCCTCCCGCTGACCGTCTCTCCCCCGCCACAGAAAGATGAAGTGTACCTCAACTTGGTTCTCGAATATGTCCCGGAGACGGTTTATCGGGCTTCGCGCTATTTCAACAAGCTCAAGACGACGATGCCGATGCTAGAGGTCAAGCTGTACATCTATCAGCTTTTCCGGTCGCTGGCCTACATCCACTCTCAGGGAATCTGCCACCGAGACATCAAGCCCCAAAATCTCCTCTTGGATCCCAACACTGGTATTCTGAAGCTCTGCGACTTCGGTTCGGCTAAGATCCTCATCGAAAATGAACCCAATGTTTCCTACATTTGCTCTCGCTACTACCGTGCCCCGGAGTTGATCTTCGGTGCCACCAACTACACAACCAAAATTGGTATGTCTTGTTTCTCTCTCTCTCTCTGTCTAACCATCGTTAGTCGATTCATCCTGGGTCTAACTTTGTGGTTCGCTAGATGTGTGGTCAACTGGCTGTGTGATGGCGGAGCTGATGCTCGGTCAACCCCTCTTCCCCGGTGAGTCGGGTATTGACCAGCTGGTGGAAATCATCAAGGTTCTCGGCACACCAACCCGTGAGCAAATTCGGACAATGAATCCCAATTACATGGAGCACAAATTCCCCCAGATCAAGCCCCATCCCTTCAACAAGGTTTGTATTACGATATTCCTCAACCCGCTGAACAGGTATGCTGACCGTCTTTCAGGTCTTCCGCAAGGCTCCCCCAGAGGCTATTGATCTCATTTCGGCACTCCTGGAGTACACACCCACACAACGACTGTCAGCGGTGGAAGCTATGGTTCACCCCTTCTTTGACGAGTTGCGGGATCCCAACACACGCCTACCTGACTCACGCCACCCCAATAACCCCTCCAAGGACCTTCCCACCCTGTTCGATTTCTCACGACATGGTGAGTTGAACCCCGCCAATCTCCTTCTTTCTCTCTCTCGGCTGTAAATATGGCGCAAAAAGAATGACCTATGCTGACAATGAAATAGAACTTTCCATTACCCCCGATATGAACGCCAAGCTGATCCCACCTCACGCCCGCCCCGCTCTGGAGGCGCGTGGCCTCGATATCAACAACTTCAAGCCCCTTTCGAAAGAAGAGATGATGGCTCACCTCGATTGAGCGATCTGATATTACCTCGACGAGATACACGGCTTTTCGGGCTACGTTCTGCATCCGCCGGGGGCATTCGATAGCCCACCGACCGAATATCATCATTTCGTGCGCAGGAACGAATCGGAGACCGCGGACACCGTCGGGGTTGTATACTTCTTTTTGATTTCATCAGCCGGGTCGCATGGCGGGACTACATCAGTCACGGGCGATATCGAGCGTGAAAGATGGGGGAATGGTTGACATCTGTTTTCATGGCTGAGCGGAAAGCCAGATTCGGTTGATTTGGGGTGGAGGCTGATGATTGTCACGCAACGGTGGGAGGTCATGGCCTGGAGTTTATTTTTTGAGGTGTCTGCGACAACTCTTGGGAGGAAAAAGTGATACCCTTAACTGTGCAAGTTTGCCTTCCAGGATTGAAGACTGCATAGCTTCATCTGTCGAGGGAAGGAAACCACAAATGCAGCCGTCCTCGACACTCGGGACATTCGATATGCATCACCGATGGGTCTGGAGGCTTTACTTCTCATGGCGGGCCTCAGGGGCCTTCTGTGATTTCCTTCTCGACTTGCAGCACTAGAAACCTTGTTTATTTTCTTCCCTTTTTTGCTTTTTTTTTCCCACCTATTTCTGTTCCTCGTTTTTTCTACCCTTTTCCCCCTGTTGCGGTGCCATCATCTTGGTCGGTCGAGCTTGGGCTGGTTCATCCCCTTACCCTCCCGACTACGCCAGGATGACATGAGCTACTCGTTCCAATTCTGAAGCAGACGGTTTCCCTTGTTTCACCCGAGCTTGTAAATGTCTTTTGTACCGTAAGCGGCCCTCCATTGATTCGGCATATGCATACATCGAACGCCTACGGTTCACACACTGGCAAAATCGGCTGGGATCCCTGGATACAAAGTGATGGGGTTCATCTTGCCCCTTCAACGAATCCCATGTGTCCGTACCACAGGAAATAGCGCAACAGTTTTACCATAGGGTACCTACTTCAAGAACATCCTTAGGATGATATCCATATCTCAGGTCTTTAGTAAATTTTCCTAAAGCGTATAGGCGTATATGGAGTAATTAATAATTCATTGCCGTCGTCTTAAATTCATCTCTATATAGTACGATGTTAAATTGTACTTGTGATTTTTGTTGATGCTCGGATCGGAAAATCACCTTCTTCCGAGCCCTTTACACAGGAAGCTCCAAGTCGGACATCCCGTCCATATTTCTTACTTCCAGTTCCAGATCCTCCCATTGTCAAATCTCAAGCGCAATGGCTGACTACGACCGCGACCGCCGGCATAACAACTACAGGGGAGGTGGAGGTGGGCGCAAGCGCCGCTATCGAGGTGAGTTCTACACCCTGATCCATTGGCACTGCTCATCAGCTAGCTAACACGACATTCCCTAGATGACGACGATTACGATCGCCGACCCCAGCGACGCAGATACGAGGAGCCGCTCTTCGTTCAGGTCCGGCGCCAACTGCTTACGATTGCCGAATCTGTATGTTCACCTCTCGATCCCTTCGCGCGTACCTCGCAATACCTCGCAATATGGCCATCGCCCTAGCTCGGAACTGTACGCTAATGCGCGAAATGCGTTCTTTAGGCTGCGCGCAGAGTTGAAGACGATATTGTCGGAATCGCCAAGTCTGTAGCGGATCATTATGAAGATGAGGAGCTACGTGATACCCTGGTTAACATCTCTCTCGACCTGTATGTGATCAGTCACGCTTCTCTTGCGTTCCAATTGTAAACAAATTGCTAACCATTGGCTCTGATATAGCGTTCTGGAACAGCCTATGAAAATTCCTTTCGTTGCCGCGGTCACCTTGGCCACTCACAACCTCAAGCCGGAGCTTAGCGCGGAGGTGCTCAAGAAGGCTAGCAACCTCCTGCAGAAACACATTGATTCGGGATCATGGCGCGAGGTCAAGCTACTCATTCGATTCCTGGGCAGCTTGCAAGCTATCTTTGAGGGTGATGGTATTTTCCCGCTTCTGGAGGAGTTCTTCGCCCGGGCGGCTGATCTCCAATCCGCGTCTTCCGAGGATGTGAGTAGTAGCTTATATCCCTCACGATTATTACTTGACTCTAATTCGTTTAAACACAGCTTCTCGGTTTGGAACTCGTCAAAGTCATCCTGTTCACCATCCCGTATGTGATGTCTTCCCCCGCGACTGGTTTCGAAGCCCAGGCCTCGGCCCTTCTCGAGAAAACCGATATCATCGCATCGACTCCCCACGCTCTGGTCGACCTGGTCAATACATTCAGCCCGGATGAGAACAAGGAAGCCGCGGGTCCCAGTGTGATCGGCTTGATGCAAAGCCAGCTACAAGCCGAAGCTGGTCAGGGCTGGGAACTGAAGTGCCTGCCTCGTCCTTGGAAAAGTGTACAAGAAGAGAGCGAGGAGCAGAAGCCCTTTGAAGTCGTGACCAAGATTCCTTTCCCGCAGATCACCGTTCCGAGCGCAGTTCCCAATGGCCCTCGGCCGCTTTTCCCGGAGGTCTATCTCTCGGTATACGCCGAACAAGAGATCTACACGGTCCCTCCAATCTCGGATATCACATCTTCTATCGCGCGAGATGCTTTGGTAGATACTATTAACCTGCTTGACTTCAACCGAGTTGCCACAGCCAAGTATCTCATTGATATTGACTGTTACTTTACTCCTTATACATTCGTCAAGCGTGCGACTCCGTTCGACCGCATGCGCGATCTGGCTGGCGAAGGACAGTCCTGGAAGCCAGAGGATGTGGCTGTGGATGCAGTTTTCTCACAACTGTACCAGCTGCCTACTCCGGAGCACAAGCTCGTTTACTACCATTCGGTTTTGACCGAGTGCTGCAAAATCGCCCCTGCCGCTATTGCGCCGAGTTTAGGCCGTGCTATTCGGTATCTCTATAACCATCTTGAAACCATGGATCTGGAGCTCAGTAACCGTTTCCTTGACTGGTTCGCCCACCATCTGAGTAACTTTGGCTTTACGTGGAAGTGGAGCGAGTGGTAAGTTGCTTCTTGTTTCGAATTGTTTTGCTCCTTTTGTGGCAGCCTTGCTAACTAAACTCAGGGTTGAAAATCTCGAACTCCCCGCCATCCATCCTAAGATGGCTTTTATTCACGGTGCTCTTGATAAGGAGATCCGCCTGAGCTTTGCGCAACGCATTAAGGGCACGCTCCCGGAGCCTTACATTCCTTTGATCACCGAAGGCAAGGAGAAGGATACTCCCGAGTTCAAATATCTATCCGAGAGTAAGTCGATCCCTCGCCTCGCCTCGCCTAGTGAAGAGATCCGGATCAGATCACAACTAACACCAGCCACAGTGACCCCGTACTCCAAGGAGGGCCAAGAACTCGGCCAACTCATCAGAAAAAAGGCCAGCGACGACGAGATCCAGCCCGTAATCGCAGCCATTGAGGAACAAGCCCAAGGCCTAGGCGTCGAAGATCCCAAAGTCCCCTCAACCGACGCCTTCGTCACAGCCATCTGCTTCGTGGGCTCCAAATCCCTCTCCCACGTCCTCTCCTGCATCGAGCGCAACAAGGAGAGACTCCTATCCGTCGGATCCGCCTCCCACCAAGCCCGCGGCCAAATCATCACTTCCGTAATGGAATACTGGGCCGACCAACCTGGAATAGCAATCAACATCATCGACAAACTCCTAAACTACACAATCCTATCCCCACTCTCCGTCCTAGAATGGGCCCTAAACGAATCAATCGCTGCAGGAACAATCTTGTCAAAGCCACACATCTTCGAAATGATCTCCGCAACAGTGGGCAAAGTCACGAACCGCATGCGCCAGATCGTCGCGGCTCGCACTCAGTCTGGTCTCTACGAACCACAGCTAAGTGTTCTCGATGAAACGCTTTCCCGTGAGCGTGTCGAGATGCAGGCCCTGTTTAAGTTCATTGAGGATGCTATTGTTTCCGTTGCTGCGGGAAGTAATGATGAGCTTATGGAGCGGGGTGATGGGTCGGGCGATCTTCCTGAGGATGCGATTATTCGACAGTGGGGTCGGAGGTGGTTGCGCGTCTTTAGGAGAAAGCTTGGTGTTGAGGAGGCTTTTATCAATGATGCTTTGGCTGGGGCTACGCCTGTTGGGACTGAGGCTCCTGCTTTGACTCAGGGTGATGATGGGGATGTTCAGATTGGTGATGCTGATGCTGATGCTGATGCTATTGCCGATGGTCAATGAAGAATGGCCTGGCAAGGGCAGGCAGAGTAGGGCTAGTGCTGGACTGGGCTATAATAACACCTGGGAATAGCGTGATATGATATGCAATTTGTGCCTTTCCTTTTTTTTTCTCTCATTTTCAACCCTGTTTTGGCAAATGGATGATTTGATTGGTTTCTTCATTTCTTCACAACCTCCATCATCACCGTGATCCTCATGTAGGGTAGGGTAGGGGTGGGAAGGGGTGGACCCTCCCTCGTTCTTCAATTCTCGTGTATCACTGCATGTTCTTACATTATCCGTGGATGGCCCTGGCCGTGGCGTGGGGCAAATTCAATTTTGTCCTACATGGGAAATTGTACACTATTGAAATTCTGAACTTTTTGGTTTAGTCGTGGCTGGCTGGGTAGGTCTGATCGCGATCGTGAATTTAGCTTGGAAATCAAGGAGACCTGTCTTGTTCTCTTGGGTTTGTGCCATATGATATGGTTACTCGTAATAACAAAGCAATAAAGGCCAGGAGATGAGAGAAGGTGTGGATCTAGTTCATTCTATCTAGATTTTTATTGTCTCTGGCTGGGTACGGATAATACAACGTAGGAAGATGAGATGTGCCCATAATTTTAATAGTATAGTATAGTATACTATGTAGTAGTACTACCAGCAGTATACTAGTACTAGTAGCATGCTATAATCAATCCTCTGATGATCCAATAAATCTATCTTCCTTAGATGTTGAATATTTCTATTCCTCCCGAGATCATGATCCCTATTGATTGCCAGTGGAAATAGAAGGGGAATTTCGCTTGTACAACCCCAACCCCAGTCCTGGCCGCAGCCCTAGCCTCGATTACTGAGAATCCGAATCCGAATCTTAACCCCAGCTAGATAGAATACAGGGGCAAATGAAAATGAAACCAAAGAAAAGGTGGTTGTGGAAGAAGAGAAACAGAGAGAATGGAAAGAGATAAAGAGAAAAAAACAATATCAAAAAATATCAAACCCCTCGTGGTATCATATACATCTTTAACAAAAAACCTTGGAAATCACCCTAGACATAAATCCCGTCAAAATTTGAACTTGAACCCCATATAACATGAAACCATGAGCCCGAATTAACCATACCATATACCAGCCAACCAGCCAGTATGTTATTTTGTTTTGTTCTGTTTGTGTTGATCACCTCAAATCCTCCAACTTATACCCCGCAGCCAAAACATCCCCCCGTCTCTGATGCTGATGCTGATGCTGCTGATGATCCAAAAAGTAATGCCCATGTCCCTGCCCCTGCCCCTCATCACCATCACTACTAGAACCACGCGTATAAATCGACATCCCATCTTCATAACTACTCCGACGAGTCTGCGTTTGCGATTGCAAACTATCCTCATCAGACTCCATTGAAGAAAGTCGACGTGGATTGAGGCTCAGGTTCATATCGCCCTTGATAAGTTCAAGTCCACTTCCATTTCGCTTCGTAGTTGAAATTCGCCGATCTTTACCCCGCCCTTTAATCCCCTTATTACTATTCTTGTAGAGTGTTGCGAAGTACTCCCATAATTCGCGGTCTTGGGCGTTGGCGGGGCCGTGTTCGGTTATTTGCGTGAAGCGCGCTGTTAAGGAGCGGAGGGTTGTTGTGTGGAATTTGTTTTGGTGGGACTATGCAGAGGGAGAGGGATTAGCCATGATTATCCTGGAATTGTTTTTCTTTGTTTGCTGGTTGGTTGGTTGGCTGGCTGAGGCTTACCTTTAGATTCCCCAATTGTGTGAAATTCTTCCCACAGTCATCGAGCAGGCATGTAAATGGTTTCGCTTGTAGATGAGTAGTCTTGTGGGCGCGGACATTGCCTCGTTGGGCAAATGATTTATGGCACAAATCACACTTGTATGGTTTTTCGCCGGTGTGACGACGCTGATGGGTCTGTTGGTGAATATAGTGTCAGCCGTCAGATTCAGGTCATCCTTGTCCTTGTCTTGAACTCGATGTAATCAAGGCGAAGCGAATTGAATCGAATCTGATGCTTATGCGTATGCTTATGGAAGGGGGAGGGGCAGTCTTACCTTGAGGTTGCCTAGCTGCGAGAAACGCTGTCCGCATGAAGGCTCCTTGCAGATCTGATGGAAGTGTCAGCAAGAGGGTATAGTGGGGGAAGGGGAGGGGGGCAAATATCTGATCTGCTCTGATCTGATCTGATCTGCTTTGTATTGCGGTGTACTCACAAATGGTTTATCTCCAGTATGCGCTCGGGTGTGAATATCAAGATGAGTCTTCTGGGCAAAACTCTTGCCACAATCCGGTAATGTGCAGGTATACTTGCGCTGCTTTCCGGATCGAGAGAGTTGGCCTTCGCTAGTGAGGAGGAATTGTGGCGGGGACATTGGATTTGCGTTCACATTTGCATTTGCATTTACATTTACATTTGCGTAAATGGGATTCGGGTTCGGGTTCTGGTTTGGATAGCCGTGTGGAGCTAGTTGCTGAACCGAAGGGAGTAATTGCTGATGCTGAATCGGTGTTGGATGTGGTGAAGTCGAAGGCTTTGATTGAATGGCTTTCATCAAGACGTCGACACCGGTTGAGAACTCGATTGATGGACCATCCTTTTTGTCTTGGGAATCTTTGTGGAGTCCCGCTGGATGCGATAGCAGACCTAGCCCCAGACCGGGCTCGGTCTTGCATACCTGGCTGATGGCATTTTTGGCGGGCCGGATGTCAGGTAATGAGGGTGGTTGCTCGGTCAGACGAGATGATCCGAGTGAAGGTGGTGGTGGTGGTGGTGGCTGGTTGGAAACAAAGTACTGGTATGGAGATGGAGAAGAGTGGTGGTGATGGTGAGTATGGTGGTTCAAGGAGCCGAAATTGTAAGCGGGAGAAGGTTGGGTTTGGGGTTGGTATGGCAATGAGTATGAGGTTGTGGTCGGATGGGAGTAGTAAGGGAACAGGGGAGTATCCATGGCGCGACGATGGGGGAATGCGCCCACGTTATGGCCTGGGAATTCATAGGATACCGGCTCGGCAGTCTCCATGATGATACTTCCACGAGGGGAGGTAATCAGGGTTCCTTTTGCTTTTTGTTTGAAAGGGAGAGACTGGAGGGTACGAGTATAGATCTGAATATCCTTGGGGATACTTTGTGGTATCGGTACTCGGTACACCTGGGCTAGGATGACCGCTTAACTCAACCTTGGAGAGAAAAGAAAAGGGATTTTGGTTCTGTCCAAGCAGGAGTTGCTTTTGGAAGCGGGATATAGAGACAGGCCAAGTGCAGGCCAAAGTGTAACTGGGGCCGGGGAGGGAGATCTATATAGTCACGGTCCACTGGCAGCTTGACAGGTAGTGGTGGTGATAGTTCCAGGACCGGCTGCAGGTCATGGGAGAGTATTAGGTACTCCTGTACTCTGTAGGGTAAAGTGAAGAATGATTTCCGACTAGTGGTGATCAGCCGGGCCCAAGAGATATCTTGTATGACGTTCCCAAGAAAAGGAGGGCAGTTCGAGGCCAAAGGTGCATGGGCGATCTCCCAGGGATCATGGATGAGGCGACTGAGGCGACCTGAAAACTCCCGCATCGTGGACGCATCATTTGTGCCACGGGGGTAATTAATAAATAATATTATTATAATAATGATAATAATACTAATAATAATTAATATTATCATTATTATTCCACTAAAAGACTAGTGGGTGTGGATGAAATGGGGAAAAGTCTCGGTGAGCGTCGCACAAAATGGCAAATACTCAACTGCCGCGACTGGCGACAACTTTCCTCCACTTCAACTTAGGGCTACTTCAACTTTACCATCTTGTTTGTTACCTTCAACTTCACTGATCACATACAATATACTCTATTCCCAGTCACTATCTTCATCCATACACTCCATTATCCCCTCTATCCCATTATCCTATACTTATATCTTCACTAATTCCTTTTCCCAAAAGAAAACACTCCCTCGAGGGCGGGCCGGGCCTTCGGGCTTTCAAAGTGGACCAGCGATCTGCGACGACAGGTCAATTTACGGAGCATCGTAAGCCACTTTGGTTTTAGTCTTGCCCTCAGCAAGACTGGTCAATGTCAGCCCAGTTCCTATTGGATCCCCCTCCAGATGCGCCCGCCCGATAGTCGCCAATAGCGTCGATTCCTCCCCCCCCATCGAATATCCTGGTTAGCCGCCCATGGCCCTGGAAATTCACTGGTCTCCGATCGGTCTCAGCTCCAGATCTGCCGTCGATCGGGGCTGGTATTGGTTAGTGTGTGCCTTCTGTGTCCTCTTAGGGTGCCTCATCTTATTCTTTTTACATACGAGTGGGAGTGTGCACCCATGGTTTTGGTTTCGGGGAAGGTAATTCGTACTTATGTATATGACCTCCTCCACCCACACCTTAACTAAAGGGAGTAAATACGAATATTATGTATGAAATAGGAGAGAACAGAATATGACACTGACTGACAGCTGGAGATGACAGTGACATGACACACCCTCCCCCCTGCACGACTTGCGTTTGCATTTGAAGGCGTTCCGACCAGTACATACTTCCTACTCCTGTTCCTGCAGGGATCGGTGTCTGGTCACGAACACCTGCCCAAATAGGCCTGGTAATTACAGCGTAGAAGGGGAAAACAAAAAAAAACAAATGCCATGATTTAAATCAAAAGTGACAGCGCTCGGGGAGCCACACGACAGGACGGTTCCTGACTTGCGTGGGAAGAAGTACATACACTACTGTACTCCGTACAGTACTTACAGCTGTGATGGGATGGGATGGGGTGCTCCACTCCCCCATACTGATCGACCTGCCCTTTTTTCCCATACCCTGTAGCCTGTATGTACGAGTAGCCTTTTCCTTTCCACCCCAGCGAAGATCACTCGCATCCTGTCAGCCTGTCAGTACATATGTACTGTAGGCTCCGGACTGTGGGCCCCGAGTTCTGGCTCTGGCTCCGCCTCCCAATGGTCCGCGAGCAACCATTTGCCTACTGCATCTAGACTTAACCCATCAAGGCTAGACTGTAGACTCAGGGA